ACTTCGATTCTTCAATTTTTCGATTTTTCGCCTTTACGATTTTTTCGGTCTCAAGATTTTTTAATTTTTCGAATTTTCAATTTTGCGATTTTCAAATTTCAGATTATTCCAATTTTCAATTCTTCGATTTTTTGATGATTCGATCTCTCGATTTTTAAAATTTTCCATTTTTTTTTAAGTTTAGATTTTTCAGTTTTTTGATGTTTCGATTTCTCGACTTCCCGGTTTAAATTTTTTTTTTACTTCTCGATTTATCAAGATTTCGATGTTTTTTGTGCAATTTCTCAATTTGGTTTTTCTTTTTTTCAGTTTTTAAAAATTTTTGGTTCTTGGATTTATCAAGATTTTGGTGTTTCGATTTTTTTTTGTTCAATTTCTCGATTTTTCGGTTTTGCCCTATTTAAATTTTCCAATTTTTTAGATTTTTCGACTTCTCGACTTTTTGATTTTCGTTACTTAAATATTTCGATTTCCCGATCTTTCAGTTTTTGAATTTTTCGATTTTTTGAATTTTCGAATTTTCAGTTTTGGCATTTTTCAGTTTTATACTTTTCAATTTTTCGATTCTTCAATTTCTCGATTCTTCAATTTTTCGATTTTTCGCCTTTCGATTTTTTGGATTTGTCGATTTTTCACTTTTTCAGATTTATTTTTCAATTTTTCAATTCTTCGATTTCTCGATATTTCTATTTTTCAATTTTTCGAATTTGAAACTTTAGATTTTTCAGTTTTTGATGTTTCGATTTCTCGACTTTTCGGTTTTAAATGTTTCGATTTTTCGTTTTTGCAATTTTTAAAATTTTCGATTTCTCGATTTTTCAATTTTTCGATTTCGCAATTTCTCGATTAATCAAGTTTCTGACTTTCCCATTTCTCGATTTCGCGATGTTCCGATTTTTCGAGTTTCCAACTTTTTAATTTTTCGATGTTTCGGTTTAGGGATTTTTCAATTTTTCGATTTTTTAATTTTTCTTCCATTTCTTAATTTTTCGATATTTCAGTTCTGGGATTTTTTATATTTCGATTCTTCAATTTTTCGATTTCTCGGTTTTTCGATTTTCCGTCTTTTCGGTTTTTCGATTTTTCTATTGTTCAATTTTTCAATTTTTCAGTTTTTCGAATTTTTAAATTTTGGACTTTCGATTGCCCTCGTTTTAATTTCTAGGTTTTTCGATTTTTCAATTTTAGATTTTTTTATTTTTTAATATTTAGATTTTTTGATGTTTTTTGTCATCTCGGATTTTCGAATTTTAGAATTTTTCGACTTTTCGATTTTTAGATTTGTCTTATTTTTCCAGTTTTAAATTTCTCCATTTTTCAACATTTCAATTTTTCGAATTTTTAAATTTTGCATTTTCGAATGTCATCTGGGTTTTCCAATTTTCTAAATTTTCGGTTTTTCGACTTTTCGATTTTCCAAGTTCTTAATTTTTTGATTTTTTGATTTTTCAGTTTTTCGGTTTTTCAATTTTGCTTCCATTTCTGAATTTTTCGATATTTCACTATCGGGACTGTTTCGGTTTCTAGAATTTTTTCTTTTTCGATTTTCAAATTTCAGATTATTCCATCTTTCATTTCTTCGATTTTTTGATGATTGGATTTCCCGACTTACGGGTTTAAAATTTTTCCAATGCACTTTTATCAATTTTTAAAATTTTTGACTCTTCGATTTATCAAGATTTCGATCTTTCGATTTTATTTTGTTCAATTTCTCGATTTGTTATTGTAGGTTTGCAATTTTTCAGGTTTGGTCTAACTCAGTTTTCCAATTTTTCGATTTTTCGACTTCTCGACTTTGATTTTCGATCTTCCGATCTTTCAGTTTTTGAATTTTTCGATTTTTCGATTTCTCTGTAATTTCGAATTTTCAGTGTTGGCATTTTTCAGTTTTATATTTTTAAATTTTTTGATTTTTCAAATTTTCGATTTCTCCATTTTTCAATTCTTCGATTTCACAATTTCTCGGTTAATCAAGTTTTTGATTTTCCCATTTCTCGATTTCGCGACTTTTCAATGTTCCGAATTTTAGATTTTCCAATTTTTGAATTTTTCGATGTTTCGGTCTTGGGATTTTTCAATTTTTCGATTTTTTAATTTTTCTTCCATTTCTCAATTTTTCGATATTTCAGTATTGGGATTTTTTTTTATTTCGATTCTTGAATCTTTCGATTTCTCGGTTTTTCGATTTTTCGACTTTTTGGCTTTTCGATTTTCCAATTTTTCGACTTTTCTATTGTTCAATTTTTAAATTTTGGATTCTCGATTGCCCTTTATTTAATTCCTCGGTTTTTCGAGTTTTCAATTTTAAATTTTTTTATTTTCCAATATTTTGATTTTTTTTTGTTTTTTATCATCTCGGTTTTTCAAATTTTAAAATTTTTCGACATTTCGATTTTTAGAATTGTACGTCTTTCCAGTCTTAGTTTTTACCATTTTTCAACATTTCAATTTATCGAATTTTTAAATTTTGCATTTTTGATTGCAGTCTCGATTTCTGAGTTTTCCGATTTTTTTAATTGTCTGTTTTTCAACTTTTCTATTTCCCAAGTTTTTAATTTTTCCATATTGGGATTTTTCAGTGTTTCGATTTTTCAATTTGGTTCTATTTCTGAATTTTTCGACATTTTAATTTCGAGAGCTTTTCGCCTTTTCAACTTTTTCGCTTTCTAGATTTTTTACTTTTTCGACTTTTGATTTTCAAATTTCAGATTATTCTATCTTTCAATTCTTCGATTTTTTGATGTTTCGACTTATCAAGATTTCCATGTTTCAATTTTATTTTGTTCAATTTCCCGATTTTTTATTTTAACTTTTCGATTCTTCGGTTTTTGGCCTATTTCAATTCCCCAATTTTGCCATTTTTCGACTTCTCGACTTTTTGATTTTCGATCTTTTAATATTTCGATTTCCCGATATTTCAGTTTTCGAATTTTCGAATTTTCAGGTCTGGCATTTTTCAGTTTTACATTTTTCAATTTTTCGATTCTTCAATTTCTCGATTTTTCGATTTTTCAATTTTTCTTCGTTTTCTTAATTTTTTGATATTTCAGTTTTGGGATTTTTTTTATATTTCGATTCTTCAATTTTTCGATTTCTCGGTTTTTCGATTTTTTGATTTTTCGCTTTTCGATTTTCCAATTTTTCGACTTTTCTATTGTTCAATTTTTCAATTTTTCGAATTTTTAAATTTTGGATTTTCGACTGTCCTTTTTTTAATTCCTCAGTTTTTCGATTTTTCAATTTTAAATTTTTTTATTCTTCAATATTTCGATTTTTTGATGTTTTTTGTCACCTCGGATTTTCAAATTTTACAATTTTTCACCTTTTTGATTTTTAGATTTGTCTATTTTTCCAGTTTTAGATTTCACCATTTTTCAACATTTCAATTTTTCGAATTTTTAAATTTTGCATTTTCGATTGCCATGTCGATTTCTGAGTTTTCCGATTTTTTAAATTTTCGGTTTTTCGACTTTTCGATTTTCCAACTTTTTAATTTTTCGATTTGTCAAGATTTCGATGTTTCAATTTTATTTTGTTGAATTTCTCGATTTTTCTGTTTTGACCTATTTCAATTTCCCATTTCTTAATTTTTCGATATTTCAGATTTGGGATTTTTTGATATTTCGATTCTTCAATTTTTGGATTTTTGGCCTTTTCGATTTTTTGGATTTCTCGATTTTTACTTTTTTGAATTTTAATTTTTCAATTTTTAAAATTCTTGATTTTTCGATTTATCAAGATTTCGTTGTTTCGATTTTTTTGTGTAACTTTTCGATTTTTCGGTTTTGACCTATTTCGATTTCTCAAGTTTCCGATTTCTTGACTTTAATTTTCGATTTCTAGGTCCTTTAGTTTCTGAATTTTTCGATTTTTTTGACTTTTCGGCTTTTCGATTTGCCAATTTTTCGGTGTTTCGATCTTTCAGTTTCTCGATTTCCCAATTTTTCGTCACTTAATTTACATATTTTTCAATTTCGCGATTATTCAGTTTGCCGATTCTTCAATTTTTCAACTTTTTTTTCGAATAAATTAGCTATATTTAAATTTTGTAAAATGACACTTCTGCACTTATGGCTTATGCATCCTTATTTTTGAAAAAAAATCAAAATTGTATAACCTCAACACATTAACTAAATTAGAAATTTAATAAAAACGTGATTAGTATATTTTAGGAAAATTTAAAAAATCTGAAAAACTTTAGATTTTTTTCACATTTTGTTGATATACATATTTTTACTGTTACTTTTTTGTATTTTCGTTTTCGCTCCAACAATAATTGAAATTTTCGTCAAATTAAGCTTAAGTGAGTGTAATTAATAATTACAAGTGTTCAATAGACTCATTCAGAAATTAAGGCAAATCTTTTTTAAAATTCTTGATATTATAATTAATTAATCAAATACAGATCAGATTGTCTGGCAGAGAAAAATTACCCCAGGAATTTTTAAAGTAAATGTAAATGAAATTTCCGCAACAAAAGGTAGAGTCAAGGTCATCAGTTTTTTAGATAAGATAGTTATATAAATTTTGGTTAGCTTTTTACTACGCACACGATAATAATTGTAAGTTCGATTAAATTTCCAAAATAATCATTTAAGCACATCGGGGATTATCTGTCTAACTAAATCGCTTGTGGACAGACTATAGACAGACAATTCGATTTTTGTAATTCCTTATGCCATCACTTCCTTTTGCTTAGGTTTGATAAATAAATATTTTAACTGGTTCAATAAATGAATATATTTCTGCCGATTTTGTAAATAAATTTAAACAATAGCAGTAACGTTTCCGAATTTTAAAGTCAATTAGATATATATTTATAGGTATAGTTAAAATAATTACACCTTATCCACGAAGTTGATTCATCCCGGCAATGGAATAAACGTACTTCATAAAAATAAAATTTCATTGCGCCTCTACCATTCAAATAAATGGTTACCTACACTTTGAAACACGTCACTGACTTTCTCTGAATCGTTATATTTCATAAACAGAAAACTGCAAGTACCTCAAGTACTCGCCTTCCTGTTTTTTGCGCGCCTCCAGCATTTTCACCAATCGCTAATACCTGGTTTAAAACAGGCCACGAGTCTTCTTCGACTATTCCGCGAAATGTCACACCAAATACAAGTACGTACCACGTCCTTCGCCTCTCTGTATCATCCGTATCTTTTTTCAGGACGAGATTCTGGAGCGTTCCACCTGGAGCAAGCCCTTGGAGTTCGTACTGTCCTGTCTCGGTTACGCCATCGGTTTGGGCAACGTGTGGCGCTTCCCTTATTTGTGCTACCGCAACGGAGGCGGTGAGTTTTTTATTTTTTATTTTTTTGGAATTGTTAAGGGTGGATGTTTGATGTGGGAATGTAAATTCGGGGCTATTGTGTCCTTCCGCTAAAATTTAATCGCGGAAATGTAGCCGCTCCAGTGAAATGCGATAATGATATTAATTGGTAACGTTTTAAGTGAGTCGAGTTTAATCCGACGTAGTTAACGGTGATTATACGGCGGAATGCGTTTAAACCTCCTATATAATACTTGAAACGTTTTAATCACTATAGTTGTAAATCAGTCAGTTGCAGCATTTCATTGTCAGCGGTTATCTGAAGGCAAAAAGTTGATTCATTGTTGGATCATGAAATAGGTTTCAACATGTCATCAGAGTAAGCGTGCGTAAATTCGCTTTATTGTTTATTTACAGTGCAAATAAAATTTTAATTAAACTAAATATAAAGCGGCAATTGACTGGGTGTCTCGTTTTTGGAAAATTTTTGATCAAAATGTATTTGCTTATCCCCCCTAAAAAATTGATGACGCCACTACAAAATTTTGCTGAAAAAATGCTACCTTAAAAGTGAAAAGAATGATGAGCCTATATTGTGATTTATCGCTGAATTAATATTTTTTAGATTTGCTTATAGAGGTTTGCTTGATATTCGAGTCCTCAACCGCCAAAAACAAGCGCCAAATTTAATTAGTCGATGCAAATAAAAATTGTTTCACTACAACTCGTCGCCTGAGAACTTGTTTGATTTACAGACCAGAGCGCGCTCAGGGCAATGTCGACTCTAAGGGTTCAGAAGCAATTTGATTGGTTTGAACTAAAATTTCTACGGAAAATAGTTGCTTGGTCGGTTTTTATAACGACTAAGTGAATATTTTTGGTACTAAGAACATTATTGAAATCGTAATAACCCAATGGATTTTTTCGGGAAAATGTTTTGGTAACACTGTGTTCTATTTTGTATGAATTTTTAAATGTTTTTAGTGACAATTTTTGTGGTTGTTTTCGATATTAAAAGTGAAAAATTAAAATAATCGAAACTTCGAAAACTCGAGAAATCTACTAATCGAAAAATCGAAACCTTAAAAAACATCGAAAAACTGGAAAATCGAAAAACCGAGAAATCGAAAAATCAAAAGATCAAGAAATCGTGGAGTCGAAAAATGGAACAATTGAGAAACCGAAATAGGCCAAAATGGAAAAATCGAAAAGTTAGAAATTGAACAATTTATAAATTGAGAAATTGACAATTAAAATATCGAAAAATCCAAATTTCGATAAATCGAGAAATCAAAAAACTTAAAATTTCGAAAAATTGAAAAATTGAGACATCGGAAGATCAAAGAACGAGAAATCGAAAAGTGATGAAGTCGAAAAATCGAAAAAGTCAGAAATCCACAAACAAAAAGTTAAAAGTTGAAAAATTGGAAAAGCGGAAAAGTCAAAAAACGAAAAAATGGAAAACTGATAACTCCAAAACCTGAACAATCAAATCTCGATAAATCGGGAATGAAAAATTAACAAATCGAAAAATTGAAAAACAGAACATCTAAAACCAGAAGTCGGAAAATCGAAAGATTAAGAAATATTGAACAATTAAAATATCAAATGATTGAAAAATCTAAAATTTAAAAATCCAAAAATTGAGAAATCGAAAAAGTAAAACGGTAGACACATCGAAAAATCCAGAAGTCAAAAATAGAAAAGCCGAAGAATTGAAATATTGAAAAATCATAAAACTGAAAAATCTAAAAATCAAAAGTGATGTCGAAAGTAGAAACCTTAAAAAATCGAAAAATTGAAAAGTCAAAAACCTGAAAAATCAAAAAATTAAAGAACTGAAGAACAGGAAAATCCAATCTTTAGATTTTTCCATTTTTTTATATTTTGCAATGTCAATTAATGTATTTGTCGCTTTTCCATTTTTCTGTTTTTCGATATTCGATTCGATTCGATTTCTCGACTTTACGATTTTCGATTTTTGAGTTTCTCGATCTTTCGCGTTTTTGATTTTTCTTTCGAATTTTTCGCTTTCTCGATTTTTGAAATATTTCAATTTTCTATACTACAGTTTGTTGATTTTTCAAATTTTCAATTTTTCGATTTTGCAGTTTCTCGGTTTTTCTTTCAATTTTTGTATTTTTCCGCTTTTTGATTTTTCATTTTCTCAAAATTTTGCGTTTTCCATTTTTGGATTTTTCAATATTTGGATATTCCAATGTCGCGATAAGAAAAATCGAAAAATCGAATTTGAAAAATGATCTTTCAATTTTTAGATAATTCAATTTCCCGATTTTCCAGTTTTTCGACTTTTCGAGTTTGGATCTTTTAATTTTTCAGTATTTCGATTTTTCGAATTTTTCAGTTCCTTGATTTTTTCGGTTTATTAATCTCTCGCTCTTTCGAAGTTTCGATTTGAAGTTTTGATTTCTCGATTTCACGTTTTTCCATATATTTCGACTCTTCAACTTTTCGAAATTTCGATTTTTTACCTCTCCGATTTTTCAACTTTTTGAGTTTTCGACTTTTCGATTTAGATTATTCGATATTTCATTTTATGTCATCTCGATTTTCCGACTTTTTGATCTTATTTTTTCGAATTTTCGAGGTTTCGACTCAAATTTTCTATCTTTCAATTTTTGTATTCCTGTATTTTTCAAGACTTCGACGTCTCGTTTTTCAATTTTCCCATTTTTCGAATTTTCAATTTTTTAACTTCCGATGTTTCTATTGTTCAATTTTTCAATTTTTCAACTTTGCGAATTTTTAAATTTTAGATTTTCGATTGCCCTTTTTTAATTTCTCGGTTTTTCGATTTTTCAATTTTAGATTTTTTTATTTTTCAATATTCCGATTTTTTGATGTTTTTTGTCATCTCAGTTTTTCAAAATTTCAATTTTTTTAATGTTTAAATTTTGCATTTTCGATTGCCGTCTCGATTTCTGGGTTTTCCGATTTTTTAAATTTTCGTTTTTTCGACTTTTCGATTTCCCAATTTTTTTATTTTTCGGTTTGTCAAGTTTTTAGTTTTATTTTGTTGAATTTTTCGATTATTCGATTTTTGATTTTTCGAATTTTCAGTTTTGGCATTTTTCAGTTTTATATTTTTCAAATTTTGGATTTCACAATTTCTCGACTAATCAAATTTTCATTTTCCTATTTCGCGACTTTTCAATAATTTAACCGTGTTTCCGTGTTAATTTGAATACAAGTTAAAGCTGCACAATAGATAATTGTATGAAGTTTTTCAAAAGAGATCGAGTTTGTGAGATATTTTGGTAAAATGAAGGAGTTCATTATTTCTACAATTGCTAGAAACTTTTTAGAATAACACTGGCGGGGAAGTGAATGTCTATCATTTGGTTTTAATTTAGAACATGTTTCGAAAGTTAATTTAAATTGGTCTTCAATTTCATTTTGGAAATTAATGTGAAATGTAAAATTCTTGTTTACAGTTTTGATTAATGGGTCTTCGGTGTTGTATTACGTGCTTTGTAGATTATATGTGATGTTAATTTTGTTTTGGATTGTTCTTGATAAATTGTTAAGTGATTTGTCAGTTAATGTCTGGGATCTGTTTGATAGTGTGTTGGTAATTTGTGTTATGGTTGTGATCTTATCTTGAAGTGTTTTGTTTAATGAATCTTTAGTAAATGTGTCAGTCGGTGGTGTCTTTGGTGTATTTGATAGACTACTGTTACTATTTTGTGGTATAATTGGGATCTTCCACCTTTGGCTTCTACTTCAATCTATTTGCTAAAAATACCCTCATCTGCAAATATATGGACCTACTGTAAATGAAAAAAAATATATCATTTCACAAGAACTTAATTTTTGTATGGTTGAATGCTGTAACGAATTTCTTTTATTAAAATTTGTTAAATTAATTATTTACACTAACCTTTCTAGAATAAAATGAAAACGATTCCACAAGGGGTCTTACCTTTTAAATCCAGTCCACGTATCTTATCGTCCGCCATCTTGGAGCTGATCTAGCACTCCTTGATGGAGCGCAAGATCGAAGTTCTAGAAGCACCACTTTTCACTAAGTCTTTTAATAGAGCACTAGGAAATTAACACGCCGCACCCGAAAGTTATCATCGCGCAAAGATCACAATGTGTTTAAAAAAATCCTACCTTTTTGGCTTCTCCTTCTGCTACCACTTGGAGCGAATTCCCTCTGCTTCAGTCAACGGACCTACTGTAAATAAAGAAAAATACCATTTAGCAAAATTGGATTTTTCGTATCGCTGAATGCTATAACTTTTTTTTAAATGTTGTTTAAACTCCTAAAGATAAAAAATATTCCACAATTGGTTCTTACCCTTTAAATCCTGCCCAGATGCCTTATCGTCTACCCGGCTGAAGTTGAGCTGCCATTTCTTTGCACAACACAAGATTGAAGTTCTAGAAGCACTATTTTTCACTGCATGTTTTAATCCCGCACTCTTCTTCTATTATTTATAGCGAATCCACTCTTCTTGAAGGATTCGAATCCACTATAAATAGAAAAAAAAACATCATTTATCTACATTTTATAAATTTTCAACAATGAACACCCAACTTAGTAAACCTGGTCACGAGCGAGAAAAATATTAACTAAAAGTTTTATTTTTTAACTTTACGATTTTCGTTTTGTAATAACCGCTGTAAAGTAAAAACAAGAGGCAGAAATAACACCCCTTGTCCTTAAGCACTAGGTAATTGCATGCTGAAGCTCAAGTGTGTATTTATGTTTATACATCAAAAGATTGTCAAGTGGAAGTTATTTATTCAGGAAAAGTACAAAAAGTCAGAGCTTTTCAAGGTTTAGTAATAAATAGCTAAATATTACAAAAAAAAAGTAAAGTTTAGCTAAACCATGTCTAAATAGCTAAAATAGCTAACGACTTTACACAATTTTGTAATGACATCATCTTCAACATTTTTGCAAAGACACGTATATCAACTTGAATTGGTACAGTGTAATTCTGAAAATATCAGTATTGAATTCCCAAAATTTTGTGATATAGTCGATAAAAT